AGACCAGGGACACCCAAGCAAAGCCTGGGCGGCTTTGCTCGTTTGCCCGGGAGCAAAGCCTCCCAGGTGGCGGGACCCCCGCCGCCTGGGCGGCTTTGCTCCTGTCCCCCTGGTCTGCTGGGGGGGTCCAGCGGCTTTGCTGGACTCCCCCAGAAGACCAGGGAGACCGGGAGAAGCTTTTCTCACCCCGGAGGACACGGGTGGCGACCCGCCGCCCGTGAGCTCCTGGGCGAGAAAAGCCCCGTTCGTAAGTGTGGATCCGACGTAAGTCGGGGACTGCCTGTATTGGGTTGTAGATATAGATCTTGTTGTTATAGTAACTGAGTAGGTCACTGGGGTCAGCCCAGCTAGTCTGGGCTTGTGCTACTGAGCTCTGTGCTATGCAATAAAATGGACACTTGCAACTACTCAAGCTCTCTCTTTCCACTGATTTCTTCCTATACTGTGAAACTCCCCATGACATAATAAGTGATAAGTGTGCATTCTTTCAGCCCTCTGTTGAATATTTGGGACACATCATTGATGCTACTGGTCTTCATAAGTCCCCTTCAAAAGTTAAGGCTATTGTGGAGGCTCCACCCCCTCAAAATGTTAAGTCAACTTTGCTCATTTCTAGGACTATTGAACTATTATGGAAAGTTTATTTCACAGCTAGCCACGCTATTAAAACCAATTCACAAGCTCCTTGGCCAGAACAAGGTCTGGAAGTGGACTGACGCCTGTGATGTTGCATTTAACAAGGCTAAATGTGCATTGCTAAATGCAGAGGTTCTGACGCATTTTGATCCATCCTTACCTTTACAGTTGGCTTGTGATGCCTCCCCATATGGAGTGGGACCGGTCTTGTCACATGCTATGCCTTCAGGAGAGGAGAAACCAACTGCTTTTGCTTCGCGCACCTTAAGCAAGGCTGAAACTAACTATGTGCAAATTGAACGTGAAGCATTGGGAATCATTTTCAGGATTCAGAAATTTCACCAGTACCTGTTTGGATGGAAGCTTACACTTCTCACTGACCATCGACCTCTGATGGCAATTTTTGATCCACACACAGGTATTCCACCAATGGCTGCTAGTCGTATGCAACGATGGGCATTGTGGCTTTCAGGACACACATACGAGATCAGATATCAGAAAGCCACTCTGCATGGCAATGCAGATGGTCTCTCTAGGCTGCCTTTGCGTGGAACATCTCTACAGAACTCTCAGGTCTCACCTGACTTTGTCCCCTACATGTCCAGGAGAACGGAGTTATCAACCCATTCAGGGTGCTTGTTGTGGGGAATGCGTGTCATTATTCCAAAAATACTGAGACAACAGATGTTAGCTGCATTCAGGCAGGTTATTGTGGAATGATGCACATGAAAGAAATTGCACAAAGCTATTTTTGGTGGCCTGGCTTGGACAGTGACATTGAAGAGAAGGCAAGAGCTTGTATTTCTTGCCAAGGTGTGAGGAATGCAGCTCAGTTGGCACCTCTACACCTATGGGACTGGCCTGAAAAACCATGGCAACGTATTCATGTTGATTTTGCTGGCCCATTTGAAGGTAGCATGTTATTGGTGGTGGTAGATACTCATTCCAAATGGCCAGAAGTCTGTATAATGCCTTCCACTACTGCTGAGAGTACTATCCAAAAACTATGGGGAATCTTTTGTCATTTTGGTCTTCTTGATCAACTTTTGCGTGACAACGGTCCACAGTTTGTCTCTCAGGAGTTTGGAAATTTTATGAAAGCAAATATTACTTCATATTACTTCAGCACCCTATCACCCAGCCACAAATGGATTGGCTGAAAGGTTTGTTCAGACAATGAAACAAACTTTGAAATCTGTTAGAGGACATTCACTCATACAAAAGAGTCTGGACACCTTCTTACTATCCTACAGAAACACTCCTCATGCTACAACCAGTGTCCCCAGCTTTTCTAATGATGGGACGTCAGCTGCGCACGTGCTTTGATTTGCTGAAACCTTCAGAACCGCGACAAATTGTGCAACATCAGCAGCCAGGTCAAGTCATCAGGAGTGCGTCCAGAGCAAAAGATCGAACCTTTAGTCCTGGACAGCCAGTTTTGGCTCGGAACTATGCTCCTGGAGCTAAATGCGTCCCTGCCATTATTATTGCTCAAACAGGACCTGTTTCCTATACTGTCCGGACTGCAAAGTATCTCATCTGGCGGCGGCATGTAGATCAGTTATTGACAGGTTATTCCTGCCCCCAAGGCATGTCTCCAGTTGAGCTGCCCATCCTTCCCACTGCTGGTGAGCTACCGTGTCAAGAATCACGGCTCCTGACTCTCCTCCTCCATCACCACCAGCGGTGAACAATAACCCCCTCCCTGAGCAGGCTGATCCAACAGCCTCCCCTGGTCACACTTCAAGTTCCCAGCCCAGTATGAGGCCTGCACTCATAACATCTTCGGGTGCGAGAACGCCAGATGTCCGCCGTAAGCAAAGAACTCACTAGCACAAGCCCAGACTAGCTGGGCTGACCCCAGTGACCTACTCAGTTACTATAACAACAAGATCTATATCTACAACCCAATACACAACAATTTTAAAAAGCCCATCCATAGTATATTGTAGATGTTGTGCCAAAAAAAAACAATAACCAACCATGAACAGTTATGCTTATAAATTAAACTCTTTTTGAAAAGACTAACTTTAACTTTTATGATTCCAGGACTCGGAATTTGACCCCTTGAAGTTCACCAGTGTCATTGAGTGTGAGAAGCCAAACAATGACTTAAGTAGGTTTCGAGGTTACATGTGAGTATTTCTTCTAATTAGTTTCAGTGTATAGTCCCTTCTCTATAAGGCAGAATTTACTTCTAGACTCTCTTCTTCTAGTCCCCTGCCTCATTCCCACTTCAGAAACAAATGAGTCAGGAATCCTTCATACGGCTTCACTACACAAGCCTGATTCATCTCCAGAGCAGGACCCCCTTGTGCACTTACAGAGGTATATCAGTTCTCCTGAAAAAATAGCATGCGATGATGATATTCAAGTCTGTATCACAATGCATATGCATTAGAGGGCTGCATTAGAATCTTATCTTTTTTTATCAACAGCACTGCTAAAATTATTCTTTTCTACTGTGTATCTCTATACTGAAGACTCTTTGTCTTGGGGCCAGCATTCAGAACTCTTGCTTGCCCATTCAGATGAGGTTAGAAGTCTCTCACTTCCATTCCTGAAGTTTAATTTATTTGTCAGTTCTGATCAGCTAACATTGTGGTTATAAGTGCCTAAAGCAGGGCACTCATAGATAAAGGACTCTCCCCTCACAATCCCCCAATTAGTGAGGTAAAAAAAAGATTCTGGACATGGGAGGGGGGATCAGTTGCTCATTATTTTTGTTCCGTTGTCTGTCTGACTTTTTTCTTTAAGTGATTCTTCTGGAGGCGACTTAGAAATAGAAATTAGATTTCTCCACTCACATTGATGTTTTCTTCCTGTCTTACAAACAAGTGAATAAAGTTGTCTTTGTTTTTGTGGTGTTGGCTTACAAAATATTGCACTAGCACAACTTTAAATTATTCAGCATAGCACCTTTGAAGCTACATCAGTTTAGACCAGCTGAGAATGTGGTTGTGAGGTTCCCCACAGGGTGCCATCTGAAATGGGGTACCACTGAGCCCCCATGACTCACCAGCCTGGGCTCCCTTCATACTGTACTGGTGTGACAAGAAGCCAAGCCCTCTGGCCTGTACTTTCACCAGCATGCACACAGGCAGGGACTAACCCAGCTGCAGTTACATGCAGGCTTTCTGACCAGTCCTTGCGTGGGAAGGCTACATAGGACAACTACCAGCTCCTCAGGCGCTCTCCCTCCCCTGGGATATAAATCCAAAATGATACTGTCCTGCATTGCACAGGAAACCTTACAGCATAAGTTCTTAAAATGTGCCCCCTCCCACAATGTGGAGAGAAATATGAAGCAGCCTTTTGCTCCTGAGTTATGATTCCCACACATTGGCTTAGATAAAGCAAGAACAAGTTTAACTACAAAAAAATAGATGTTAAGTGATTATAAGGGATAGCAAACAGATCAAAAATTAAAATAACACAAACTAAAGTTAATACACTAAATAGACAGGATATGAATAAATAGATTCTCACCCTAAGAGATGATAGAATCAGCTCCACATTCCAAGAGACAGGCTGCATTGGCTTACAGCTTGGAATCCCCGGGGGTTTCATTCACAAGCTAAAAAATCCCTTCAGCCTGAGTACAGCACTGCCCCCCACTTCAGTCTTTTTCCTCAGGTGTTTTCAGGAGTCTTGTCATGTATGGGGAGCAAAGAACCACAGACCATGTCGCTCCCTGCTTTGTCTAGCTTTTGCGTATGACAGGAATATTTTGTTTCTGTGCGTGGTTTCCACACTAGTCTGTAGAAAAATACTGACATCCCAAGATTGAGTCTAGAGATGTGGTCTCATCACATGTCCTTGTAGAGTCATAGTGGCTATTACTCATAGGCTTTCAGAGATAAGCTTTTGCTAAAGCCTATTGTTTTTCCCTAATGGCCCTTCCCCACCCATTGTTTAGGCTAAAAGCATTATTATCCAGTGGGTGTTTCCCAGGTATAACTACATTTGAAATACAGATTCATAGGCAATATTCCTAATTTTAAATACAGAAATGATACATGCATTCAAATAGAATAATAATATTCATTAAATCTGAAGCTTTCCAATCATGTGTATATATAAGAGCACTATAAACTCACAAAGTACAAATTGAGTACTTAATACTTTGATTCACACCATGATTTTAGTGCAGCTTAGTCATCACAAAAAGTAAATGTAAAGCTAGTGATTGGGAGGACACTCAAAAGTTACAAGTGCATTTCAGAATAAAGTTTTGATGCCTTTCTTTATGGCCCACTGCAGTCAACCTTCCCCCAAAAGCCCTTCTACACATCTTCCTCCTAGCAAATCCTCATCCCCTTTCTCTTTTTAACACTTTCAGTGGAATAAGCTAATGGTCGTCTACTCCTCTCCAGAGATCTGTTCTCCTCGCTGTTGTTTTGAATGAGAAGGTCACTGTCCTCACTCCCAAAGTTACCATGGTCTCTGGTGGAAAAATTGTTTAGTACTACTCTACTATATATGACAACAGGGAATAAGCTTAAAAATTTCTGAGGCAAGCAGATATACCATAAGTCCTGCTGAGTAATTGCTTAGGAGAAGCTCAAGCTTTTAGCCAGTGAAAAAATAAGACACACCACAATTTTCCTTTTTTTTTTTTTTTTTAATTAATGTTGACTTATTTAGGAGTGCACACTTTACAGATGCTCTCTCTGGTCAATAATTGAAAATAATTTGTGTTAATCCTCCTGACCACAAGAGTTAGGCTTAGCATATCAGAGATCCGAAAGACATACCAAGTGACTTCATCCGTTTGACTTCCACCATGTAATCCGTTCCAGTTCAGTATTAGAAATGCACTATTAAAAACTCCTCTAAGTACTCAGACATCCAGATAGTATAAATCCTTCCCTGTCCAGATTACAAATCTTTATCAGTACAAACTGTTTTGTAAAAAGAAAATTAAAAAAATTCTGCAATAAACACTCCATGTTTGAGGAAGAGCTTTCTGTTTTAAAAACCAGCAAGTTCAGGGAAATTTTTTCATATTGAACACTTTATAGAATCATAGAACACTAGAACAGAAAGGGGCCTCAAGAGATCATCGAGTTCAGTCCCCTGCCCTCATTGCAGGACCAAACACCATCTAGACCAGTGGTGCGCAACCTTTTTTAATTTGCGACCCCCCCCCCAGGACTGGGAAAATTTTGGTTGAGCAGGAGAAGGGGCAGGGGGAGAGAACAGGAACATTTTGGTTAAGGGAAAAAAACTGGGAACATTTTGTTGTGGCCCCTTTTTTTTAAATCCCCGGTCTGCTTCCCTTCCGCTCACCCCACCCCCGCCGCGTGTACATTAAGTGCCGAGAAAACAAAATGGCAGCTGGCATAGTGCTGCAACCACCCAGGAAGCCAGCCGCGGTCGTGACCTACAGGTTGCACACCGCTGGTCTAGACCATCCATAATAGATGTCTGTCTAACCTGCTCTTAAATATCTCCAGAGATGGAGATTTCATCTGGTGGTAGAAACCAGAAACACAGGCATGCAGATTTTTCAGGACTGCTAGATATTTATTTATAGATCTTCAACTATTTCAAAAACAATGATAGCCCCACAATTTATTTTTCAGAATATATGAGAAACTTGGGGTTGAAGATGAGAGGAAAAAATTTCTATCTTCTTTTCAGTTAATACAGTACAGATGCATCACCCTACTAATCTCACTCTGGCAAATGAAAAACAAGACACACAAAAAAGAAAAACCTAGGTAAAATTAGTTACAGTCAGGCTCATTTTCAAGTTACTCTATTCAATGAGACTTTCTCTGTGCAAATGCCTTCACAATTATTTATTGAAACAGTAATTGCAGTTATGTAGCCATTTCTCATAATTGTGCATTAGATATTTATATATTTATATGCCACATATTTTGGGATGATGTCCATGTGACGTGGCATATGAGATATATTATATTTATCAAGTACCTTTTACCATCTCATCTGCACTCCATTTGTTAACCCATTGTCCAGCAGTCTAACATTCCAAATTTCTGAGGAGCTTAAAAAAGTCGCCATTAAATTTTTTTTTCCATAGAACAATGTTCTCTTAGTCCACTAGATTTCTGAAGAAAAGTCCCAGGAAGGGGGAAAAGTCAGTGCTTAACCAGCACCATGTTAAAGGGTCAACCCTGCAGAGAAAGAAGAGGGAGCTCACTCATCTCCTCAGTACAACCACAGTAGTTGCATACAATATGGGATGTCTAGTTCTCAGACCTGTCTGATTTTATTCCTGGGGGCATGAACACCAAAAAATGAAAATTCTTCATACAGTATTTTTAAATTTCTGCAAAATCTTGTGAATTTCATTTGTCAACATAACACTACATACTTATACCAGTAACAATTATTTTTGGTAATTTATTTCAAAATATATCAGCAAATATGTCAGTAACAATATGGACACACAATTTCCCCCCCCTCCCCAGAGTAGAAAGTTAAAGGAACCCCTGAGACAGCCCAGTGCGTGTTTTTCTGCCCTCTTCCCCCACCCCAGAGTTCAGCCATGGGGACAGACACCCACAACTCTTCCCAGAGCCCAGCGATGGAAAAACCCTTTGACCAGACACTCAGACTCCCTTGTCACCATAGACCAGCAGCGCCAGCCCCATCCACCTCCAGAGCCTAGGGATTCAGAGGAAAAACAGCCTGGTGCGTGGTCCCAGGATTCCACGGAGTTTTCTGCATGCCACCCTCTCCTTCCCTCAAGGCATGCTGGGAACTGAAGCTGCCAGGTGCATTCTGGCTCCCTCAAGGAGGCTGATACAATTGCCAGGCCTCTGGGCAAGGTGCGGGAGGGGGGAGGAAGGCTGCTCTGCACTTCTGGAAGGGGCAGGGCCACAGGCAGAAGGGACAGGGCTAGGGGCAGCCAGCCCTCAGCATCTCCTGGACCATGCTGTACCTTTTCCAGCCAGCCCCTCAACTGCCCAGAGCATGCTGCTTGGCATCCTGTGATTTAAAGGGCCCAGAGCTCTAGCTTCTGCAGTAACAGTGGCCGGGAGCCCCAGGCCTTTTGAATTTCTGGGCCGTAGGGGCAACTGCCCCATTTGCCCCCTTCTGTTGGAGGACCTGCACTCCCTCTTCCTCTCTCAGCAATGGCTTCTATGTACAAGCTAGGCTC